AAATCTGACCTGCACTCTGTAAGGTGGTTACTCAGTTATCAACAATGATGTACCATATGCAAAGTACAAAACCTGACAGAGTAAAGATTAACAGCAATGTCTCAAGTAAGAAAGAGGTGCCTGGTAAAGTATCCTGGGAATTTAGGTCAAACTAATCCAAGATACCACCGATTACTGGGAAGTTAGCAGAAATAGAAAATCAATTAAACTTGTAGAATATACTATATTGGGAAAATCCTGAATTACCACTGGAGGCATTTCAAACCAAATGGAATGAAACGGCAGCAAACATACTACTAACAATAGGATCTCTTTCAATAAAAGCTGACTGGAGGAAAAAACTATAATTTAATGACAAAAATATTTTTCAGATTTTAACAGGCAACATTTATTTGCAGTCATTTGTTAGATTAGATCATCATTTTAAAAATATGAGAATACTTTTTTAAATTTTATTTAAGGAGAAAAAAAAAGCAGAGAAAGGGTACAAGTTATACAGATTTACAGAAAAAAATAAAGAGTAGGAAATCACTAGTTAATGGATTACATATTTTCATCTTAGAAATAATTGTTCAAGTCACAAAATTAAAGCTTGTAAAGTGGACATTCCAACAGTGAGACTGCAAACAGTTCTGTTCAATGATCCAACAAAACTCAGTGATACCATTATCTATCTTATACACTGAAATATACATGCAGTTAAATCGTTTAGAGCACTTTCTTTTCCTCTCTTTTGTACAATGACAATTACACATTTTGGGTTTTGTTGCTCCCACAGTTCTTATTACTTTTTTGGAAGAGAGTAGAACCAAATGTGACATAACAGAACAGAGTCAATCAAATCAAAAGGGTGGACATAATAGATAATGTAAAAGCATAATACAAGGTGATCAACAATGGTTACCATAATGCCTCCCGCTATCTCTAATAGAATTGCCTATATCATCAGTTATAATAAAATTGAACAAAACAGTAAAGAATGAAACCAACAAAACCAAAACATTGGAGACATTATAGGTCTTCAAAAGTAGATAATAGTCAACGAGAATGGGCGTCATAATGAATCTCACTATCTTCACAGCTGTTGCCTAAACTTTCGAACCTGGTACTATCAAGCAAAACAGAATAGGGGGACATCAGTCAAAAACAAGATGGTGAGAGTAATACAGGGCTTTAAATCAAGATAATGGAAAGTCAAAGTGGGTTACTATAATATATCCTGTTATTTTTTATTTATTTTTCCCTTAAAAGGATAAAAATAAAAAATAATGAAGTGGAGATTGAGATAAAACAGGGCATAACAGCAAAACAGTGCAGATCAAAACATAACCATTTAAGCAGAATAGTGTTTTACCACAAGATATCCTTACATAAAAGTAGTTAACATATTGTCTCTTTCCTTGAAATCTTTGAGTATAACTTCATATACTGTAGCATCAAATATATCAAAACAATGTAAAACCATTTAAGAGAATGACAGTATTACAGGGTATTTAGAATCAACTAACAGAAAATGAATAATGGTTTCTGTATAATTTCCTTGTCTTTAAAAGTTTTTGCTTATACTATCATACATAATAAAATCCAATAAGATACAACCTGTTTGACCAATGGAGACAGAAGAACAAAAGCTTGATGAGACTTCAAAACAAGATGATACTAAATCAGTATTACCTATTAAGACGTCATTTTCTCCAAAATAGCTGTTCCTATCATCCAATCTTCTCTGCCTCATTTCTGTTGAGCTCTTTTTCTGTCATCAGTTGTCAGTTTATCTTCTTCATTTTGTTTTCTGCTCCATTCATTGTGGCCTCTCTGCCACTATTTCTGGATTCTTTGTATTTTTCTTTTTTAGAATATCCTGCAGTATTCTTTGTAGAGTTGAATTGGTGGTTGTATATTCCCCTAGTTCCTCTTTATCCTGGAAGCACCTTGTTTTTCCATCAATTTCCAGGGATAGTTGTGCAGGATATATCAATCTTGGCTGGAGATTATTATCTTTCAAAGCTTGAATTATTTCCCCCCACGCTCTTCATGATTTGATGGTTTGTGCAGAGAAATCTGCTGTAATTCTGATGGGTGTTCCCTTGTAAGTGGTCTATTTCTTGTCTCTGACAGCTTTTAATATTCTGTTCTTGTATTGAATTTCTGGAATTTTAATTATTATATGCCTGGGTGTTGCTCTGTTTGGGTTGTAGGTGGCTGGGGTCCTGTACGCTTCATACAACTGAGTATCTTTACCTTTTGCTAAATTAGGAAAATTTTCCTGGATTATTTCTGTGAGTAGCTTTTGTAGTTCACTTGTTTGTATCTCTACTTCTTCTTTCATGTTCTTAATTCTTAAGTTATGGATCCTCTTATCATCTTCTAGTCTTTGTATTATTGCTGTTTGTTTCTTTGTTACTTTTAAGAAGTTTTTCATTTCATTCTCCCATATTACAAATCTGCCCTCCAGTTCAGATAGTCTGTCCTTAGTTTCTTTCAAGCTATTATGCCAGTTTTTGATAGAGTTTTTAGTTTCCTGGTAGTCTCTTTGAACCTGCTTCATGTATTCTACGCTTTCTCTATTTTCTCCATCAAACAATTCTCCCCTCTTTTTCTGTTCTTCCATTCCACCATCTGTTTTTTCTTGGGTGGTGCTTAGCATTTCTCTAACTATTGTGCTTATTTCTAGCTTCAGGTCATTAATAACTTCATTCCTGAACTCATCTATGAGGCTCTCTAGATGGCACTTTATGTCTATTGGTGCGGTGTCCGCTATTGCCTGTTTCTCAGGATTGGGGGCCGAAGGGCCTTTCTTGTTGCTCCCTCTTCCCATATTCTTTGTTCCTTATATATGCAAGCGTATATAGGAGGCCCAGCTTCCCTCCCTGTCAGCCACAGCCTGATCAAGTTGCGCTGGCTAGATGTTCCCGCCCACCGCAGCACACCAGGAAGTTGCAGACCAGGCAGCCTATGCCGGGCCCACCCCTCCAGGCCACCCTCAGGCTCTGGGATCTGGGTTGTGCTAGCCCACTGGGTCTCAGCCAGCAGCATCACGTAGGCTAGGCACTTCTCACCAATCCCACCTGAGAGGGGGATACGTGGTTGAAGTCGCTGCAGCGCCCCGCTCCCGGAAGTCTGCCCAGTCCCAGAATGTCCTCCGCTGGAGTCTCCTAAACTGCAAAAGAGTGTCAGTTTGTCTCACTCACCTCACCGCAAGTCAATGCACAGCTCCCCGCCCGTCCTGTTTTCAACTCCGTTCGCCGATTCCCATTCTCAGAGCTTCCGCGCATCTCTCTCCCTGCCGAGCTGATGTAGACGCAGCCGCCGCGCAGCGGGAAACCCAAATCACAGCTTCCAGTGGCGCGGGCTCCAGCTTCCACACTGAGGCTTTTCTGTTCCTGTTATAGCACCAGGATTGCATTCCAAGTTGGTTTCTCTCAGCCCAGTTCGTTCTTAGGTCAGCAGAGCATATGTCCACTTGCTTATGATTCCTTACTCCGCACCACTCCTGAATTCTACACTGGGTGTTTCAGAGAGCCTCCGTAGCTGCTGCTATCTGTCTGCCATGTTCTCCCGGAAGTCTGAGAATATTTTTATTTTGTTGTAAAGTTTAAAGGTCTTTATGTTCACTTACATTGAAAGAAACACAGATTTATATTCCTTTCAGATCATTGATACAAAAAGAAAAAGCTTATACTGATCATAGAAGCCAAGTTTAAGGGGCAATCATTTTTTTAAAAATGAATGTAATCATTTAGACACTACAGTACTTTCCTTCAATTCAATTCCACATCTTGCAATTCACCAATTCAACTAAAATGACAAAGACAAGCATAAATTCATTATAATCTGGTATCTCCTAAAGAAAAAATATAAATGGAAGAAATTTTCAGAATACTACTGAAAAAAATAAAGATTCATTCCAAAGAATTTGGAATTTTCCATTTTGATACAATCAAAACAGTTAAAAATAAAAACACACTGTCTGGTTTTGTGTTAATTACAGCAGATTTGAATGTTTTGGGTATCAATGTATCTTATTAACATTGTTTTTAAAAAAACTTGGAGTAACATAAGCAACATTAAAAATGAAAACAGGCAGTGAACGGCCTATGACTTCCAAGGAAGAATCAAGTAGACAGTCCAATGAGGACCAAAAACAGACACAAAACAGTTACAGAAAAATCCTCCGGCCAGACCATTTTCCACCTGGCACTCTGGGCAGAAATTTGGCTTCTCCAAAGCTAACCTCTCATAGGGTAGGGTACCAGCAAAGCAGATGCTTCCTCTGAATAACTTAAGAGGTGTTTATAAATCCACTATTTACTAACCACTGACAAAGTTAGGAAAATGAACAACAGACAATGCAATACTTCTCCACTCATAACTGTGAAGAGCTGTTTCCACCTCAGCCTGACGAGGCACAGGAAAGAACAATTACAGAGAAGAGATCAGTGGGAGGTGACATGACAAAAGTTGCCTCTGGGGGTAAGTAGTCAAGCCAACACAAGCAGGAGGGGAGGCATAAATACTTCCACCTTGAGCTGTGGTCAAGCCTTCAACCTTCCATGAGCTGGCCAGGACCCTACTGATGCATGCCTCACAGATCAGGCTTCATGCACAACAGTGGAGGGGATCGAAGGAGGCAAACTGACCTTAGACACTGGTGAGTGGAAAGCTGCAACTAAATACATGACATTATGTGATATGAAAATGTACAAATAAAAATTCTTATTTTAAAATTGATTAAATTGTTTTCCAATATTCAAAGTAAACCCATTCTACAGAAAAATAAAAATCTTAAAAAACTGACTGAGATCTGACTTATTAATTCATCTATAAGACTAATAAATATACATTCTCTTGTCAATGTATGAGGCCAAGAACAAAATTTTATAATTTTATATCTAAAATAAGAATGTTTGTAAAGAAGTCCAGTATGTGTTAACTAGATGATAATTTTATAATGTAGTTCAAAAAAATACACATTTGGCCACCTCCCTTTCAACAATTACCTTTAATTGTTTCCTCCACAACTTCTACCACACGATCTATCTGTTGAACCTAGAAAAAAAAAAGAGTTAGGTAAACAGTTTATATGGAGGAGAGAAAACTATTTATGCCTCTACTGGAGTCAATGTTACACATTTACTAAGCACATCAATGTGGGTTTCCCTTAATGCATTTGAAGATCTTATTTTAAAACTCTATATTAATCTTTTGTGTAATAATAAAATATGAATTTCAGCCTCATATCCTCCATGGATAATTGCAGATAGCATAATGCATTTAAATAAGCTACCTGGGATTCTTGTAGGATAACTTTCAACATAAACTCATATAAGCTAAGATCTAAATTTAAGTTTAATTAAAACATGTCTCCTCACACAGAGCTTCAAGCAAAAGGGCCTAAAATGGCAACCTACACCAAAAGACATACTAGTATTATAGATATGTATCTCCAATTATTACTTTAATTTTTAAAACCTTTTCAATGAATTTCTACCATGTGCTGAGTACTGTACTGAGATCCATGGAACACAGTATCAATAATAAAGCTCCTGTTTTTCATACCTGTGACGAGGTTGCCCGAGGTGCCATAGGAACACAGAGGAAAGATAATAAAATCAGGCATAATGAAGCAAAAAGTGACCCTGAATGACAAGAGATGAAGCCCACTATAAGGAAATTCAGTAAGCATGAGCAGAATTTAGAAGTTAAACTTAAAATGCCAATGTAAAGGTATGATCCAAGAAACTAACAGAATAAAGTCAGGCAAGAACAGGTCAAGTTGATCTCTAAAAAATCCCCAAATTATAACTTTTATTACAGGAAAAACAGCTGTGCCCCAGATAAATTAAAGTAACCTACAATAAATATCCTCCATCCTCTATTTCTACCCCATAGGTAAAAATCATTTATTATGATGAACAGATAAGAAAGTATTTCCTGGTATTAAATACTTACATAAAAATCTGTTTTCTCTTTCTCTGTGTGTGTGTGCCGTGTGTGTGTGTGTGTGTGTGTGTGTGTGTGTGTACACCCGCACTTTGATTTCTGTGTGCATATTATCCATACATAAAGGTCTTCATCCATGTTACAGCTCCCTTGTTCCTCACTGGAGCAATTTACCAAAATGCAGTCAATTACGACAATATTGTAGTGAACAAAACAGAGATAAGAAATATCATGTAAAAAGAATATATTAAAAACGTGACAGCAAATCTCTTGAAAGTATTCCTTTGGCCTCAGTGTCTTATGTGAAAACAAGACAAGAGCACACTGGAACTCCGTCCTGACTCTGACCACCGCGAGAATCTGCCAGAGGCAAAAGGAAAGAGAAGGGAATGGCCAACAGCCTCACATGATGATACAGAAGCAATGAGTAACATACAGACTAAAACAATTTAGGGGGAAAGCATGTGCAGTTCTAATAAATCATGCATATCAACACAGAAACAGCAAGCATAAAGTACTTTTTAAAAGGTGAACGAGAAAATATTCCAGGTAGCTAGAGAAAACTGAGTGTGTGTTGTGGTTGCATGGTTAAAGGTAGTGTACTGAATTTAACTACTTATTTTGGTTTTTTGAGATAAGAGTCTCGCTGTGTACATCAGGCTGGCCTTGAACTCACTATGTATACTGGGCTGGCCTCAAACTCATGGCAATCCTCCTTCCTCAGTCACCAAAGTGCTGGGATTACAGGGATGGGCCACTATGTCCAGTCTGTATCTAACTACTATTCTTCTGCCCTTTTTGGTCTTACAGTTTGGAAGAAAAAAACACAAGAGTTTAACACATAACAACTAATAGATGAAGAAGAATCCTCAGGAAACGGGCAGAATAAGACTCAAAAACCAGATTCACAGACTGTGGGAGAAGAGAACAAAAAGACACCAGAAGCAGGCCCACCCTGAAGATCAGTGCCGTGCATGGGCCCCAAGGTGGACAGCCAGAGCCCAGCCCCATCTAGCACACGGGCTGGGAAACAAGAGCCAACACCCTGCCCTACCCCCATAAGCAACCAGCTGATCTGGAGAAACACAGGCTGGGTGTTAGCTACTGAGGCGAAATGCAATTTGATGCTTATAGTGTTTGCTCTTTCACTGACATTGCAGGTCTTAGAGCTGGTGTCAGATCAACTACCAAGAGGTTAAAGGTACACAGTGTAACATCTATAAGGGATTTTCTTTGAATGTAGTAGCCATTGTTAATTCCCTGCTTTTCTTGTTTTGAAGTCCTCTATCACCTCATTGTTTTTTGTTATTTTTTTTTTTTTTGTCTGACTTTGTTATATCCAATGGTACGGGCAGCTATCTCAAAGATAGCAAGATAGCTATTTTGGATTTACTGTTGTCTTGTTTTGAAGTTCTTTATTGCATTGTTTTGTTTCTGTTGGTTCTATTCTGTTCGGTTTTAATTTTTACTATGCCTGAAGGTATCTGCACCTATTTTGAAGACAAGAGGCATTATGGCAACCACTGTTGATTTCCTATTGTTTTGAAGTCCTGTGTCACTTACATTGGTTTGTTTTGATTGGCTTTATTCTGTTTTTTTTTTTTTTTTTTGGCTTGGTTTTATTCTCTTCAAAATAAAATCAATTTTAAAAAATTAAAAATTAAAAGATTCCAAAATCAAATAAAGATAGCAGTCCAGAGCAGGAAGCGGGAGGGAGTAAGTCTTTGAAATGAGATGCTGAATGGAAGCAAAGTCTAGTACTCTCTATAGACTTCAGTAAGGATGCTAAACAAATCCCATTTATTGCTCTCAGTTTTTCTAAAAGAGATACAATGCAAGCTCATTTGCTAAAAGTAAAATGGCATATGATAAAATAAGAACAGAACAAGTATTCCAAGTACCTGATACAGAGAATAACAATGATGACCATGAACACGTAAAAATTGCCAGACAGTACTGAGAAGCCAGTTACAAGTATAGCCCATGAATTTCTAACAATGACTCCACGTACAGCTGAATTTTTCTTCAGGTCCAGGAGTGCTAGTAATGGAGCCAGACAGGTTGATACATGTTTTGTAATTCCAACACTTATTTGCTCATCATTTATTAGACCCCTAAAGTATAGCAAAATGATCCAAAAGACTGGAGAACAACACTGACTACAAGCAAACGAAAAAAAGCCTGACTATTCACTTTATGTAAGACCTGTAGAAATGGCAGAGTTAGAAAGACAAAGTGAATACATGAGAACTAATTGATGAATCAAGGTCCCGCAAGAAATGAGCAAGATCAGATTCAAAAACCAGAAAAAGACACCAGCTGGAGAATATGGAATGGAGAGAGAAATAAGAAGGAAAAGAAGACAAGAAAATTAAGAGAAAAAGAGGCTAAAACCAGAGTGCTGATACAGAAATGTACTATTTTTGAAGGGTAGCAAGGCCCAAGATCTGGTCATAGAAATGACTGCTGAAACGACGACGATGACGATGATGACAGTTACAGTGACAGTGATGGTGACAATAACGATAACGACAACCACTGGAGGTAAGAAATAAGGAAACATAAGATTAGAGCACAGGTGAGATATTACGTGTGGGTATGGGGATTGTCCAGAGTAAGAGAGACATGATAAGCTAGCAATTAGGGACAGCAGACAGGAATAAAAGGAGTAAAACATGAGCTCAAATGATGGAGTCAGAAAACAAAAATGATGTCCTATGTACTTGGAGACATAAAAGTTTAAATGGAGCACAGCACTTAAGTCTTGAAGCACATGAACTGAGCAACAAGCCATAATCCCAGAGAAAAGAACAACACGTGTCAGAAGCTGTCTGTTACAAAGTTGAGGGTCACAGGAAACTAAAACTCAGAAGGAAATGGACCTATAAATCCACACAGACCTTAGATTAAATAACAGTTCCTTAATCATAATACCAAAGCATGAGCAATGAAAGAAAATATAGAAAATCAGACATTAGCAAAATTAAAAACTCTTCATACTTCAGAGGACACCATTAAGAAAGAAAGAATACAACACAGAAAATGAAGAGATACTTTTCCCAATCACATACATACTGTGTCTGACTTGAGCCTTTCATGTTTATATGTGACGAGCTCCTACAACTCAAGAGTAAAAAACATACGCATCAAAAATGGGCAATGGATTTGAAGATACAGCTTCTCCAAAGAAGACATACAATGGTCAATAAAACATGAAAAGGTGCTCATTACCATTAACTAACCCAAGAGACAAATCTAAACCAGAAGGGGGTAAACAGGAATTATTGCTTCATGGACACAAAGAATAAGTTTGCAAAAATAAAAATATTCTAGAAATAACAGTGGGAGTAGTTGCAAAACAATATGAAGATATTTAGTGTCAAAGAAGCCTGTCCTTACAAATGATTAAAATGGCAAATTTTATGAGCCATTAACTACCAAAAAAGAAAAAAGAAAAAAGCACAATGAGATACAATGTCGTAACCACTGAAGGCTATAATAAAAAAAGAAAAATAGTAAGTGTTGGAGAAGATGTGGAAACACAGGAACCCTAATACACTGCTAATGGACTTGCAGTAAAACACAGCCAGTTTAGAAAACGGTCTACAGCTCAACACAAACAGTTAAACAAAGTTACTATATGATCGATTAATTTCAATCCTAGCTACATTCTCAAGAAAAAGAAAAACTATGTCCATACAAAAACTTGTACACAAATGCTCATAGCATTATTCATAATGACCAAAAGGTAGAAACACACATATCCATCAACTGATACATTCACACAATAAAATCTGACGTCACAAAAGAGAATGAAGTACTGATACACACTACAATATTTTTCAGAAAAACAAAAATGTCATGTATTAATTTCACTCATATGCAACATCGACAATAAGATACACAGAGCCAATACATTAGTGACTAGCTGTAGATAGAGAAAGAGACTGAAGAGAAGGTAAGAGTATTGGGTTTCTTTACAGAGTGAAAAAGATGTTCTATTATTTTGTAATAATGGTCACACAACTCTGAATTTACTAACTATGGTATTATACATTTTAACTGGATGCACTGAATGGTGTATGAGCTGTATCTCAATAAAGCTA